TGTTAACTTTATTCCTGTAGCATTATGTGGAAATTACTCGGAAAAAATGGAAACTTTTCCTCCAGGAATTATTCAGGTCTTTATTCATCTGCTTCAATTTGTATGTGGTAAAACTGTAATGTATGGCATACTGGAGGTGCTTGAAAATTAATACCTTCCCTCAGCTCTTTGCCAGAGTGCTAGGCTGTTGTTTTGCCTTAATTACTGTAGCCTGTCTCCAGTACAAATTTCCTATATTTCATTTTTATTTAATTGGATCAAAAGAGTCTCTTTTGTGGTAAAATTGAAAGGCAGAGAAGGTAATTGTAGCTCGTTTTTGGGAAATCAGTATTTCTTGCTAAAGTCATATTTATAGATAATGAAGCACGTCTGCTCCTTTTTTAATTTTGGTTATGTGGCAATTCACGCATAAACATATATGCTGTTTATATAGTTGCAAAAGAAAGCTATGTCTAGACATGCTTAAATGACAGTGTATTTAAGAATACCAGGGTTTTGGTGCACAAATATATCAAAACCAAGCCACATCTCAGTAAGAATGCAGACTCAGTTGGAAGGGAATCTCGGAAGTCAAGTCACATTTCCTATACAATATGAGTCAGTTGCTCTTACAACTTCAGGAAGAAAATAATGACCATATGGAAAGAATCAGTGTTCAAGTTCACTTGTATTATTAATTTGGTGGTTGATGGCATGGAGGGGAGAATTGTTAAGAGCATCTATAAAAGGGAAGGATCTATAAAAGTGAAGGATAGAAAATTAGATAAAAAGACACAGAAGATGTCCTTGAGGTTCGTCCAGCAGTACCAAGTGGCTACTCTTCATTCAGTGACTTTTCAGATATGGCTGCTTTCCCTGGCCAGTCAGCTGTACTTCTTTCCCTGCAATACTCCTGAGCATGCAAAGGTACCTTTGCACCCTTCCTTCCTGCACTTGCTGCCGTACTGTCCGTTCCTGTTATGACACATGGTGCTGAAGGGCCTTGGGCTGTAGTGCTGTAACACACACTTCCATAGGCCAGGCTGCACAGAAAGTTCTCCAGGTACATTGATTTAGCTTTTTATTCTGTAAGATACAAATTAGAATTCTAAGGGATATTACATATTGGAAAGAGTCTGTAAATTACTAAGGTATCAGATAGGAGAACCAAGGACATGATCAGCAAACAAAAAAGACCAAGCACATTTAGTACAAGGCAGTAATGAGAATTTTCATGCTTGCACTCATCTAAGAGATGGCAAACGTAGGTGAAAAATATTTTCTAGGTGGAAGGCAGAATAACTAATGTGTTGTAACTCCTGGAGAAGACTCCGTACATCATTTATAACTACACCTAAAGAAACAGAAAGTTTATTAGTTGATTTAGCTTTTCAGGTATCACCAGTTTTATTTCATCAGTTCTAATTTCAAAATGCATGCTTCAAGATACTTCTCGGCAGGCTAGACAATTTGATATGAAGGAAAGCAAGCAGTGTGATGAGTATTGAGACGATGATTCCAGTGAAGGCTCTCTAACAAAACTGTGATCAGACATTGTAACTATGCCTTCAGTGCCTGAGGGAAAAGTTCTTCAGAAAAATTTCACTTTACTTGGACAGGTGTTGCGTATCAACAACGCAACAGACAGGACAAAAGAAAGTGGAGAGACATACAAGACTACATAATGGGATCTCCAGCATTTTGCTATATCCACCTTTCTCTCTAATTTCTCTCGTTTTCCTTTGTCTACCATCCTATCTCAGCATTCTGTCCATATCCATTAGAATATTTAAGATCAAAATACTTTCAGATGTGCAAAGGGAGACCATGCTACACGGTGTTCAAAGACAGAGACTGGCACAGACTTCTGGGGGATGGTTTGTTCTGACTGCTGGAGTGGAGGGAGATTTTGTGGTTGTTTTGACCTTGGCACAATCCATCTCAAATCCAGCACTGAGCATGTGTCATGGCTGCTCTGGTATTTCCCGTGGAGTACTTACTGAAAAATGCAGCTCCTCACCTGCTTTGATTGAAAAGTGAATTGGCCTTGCAGCAAAACTGTGATTTGTGGCATGGTTGTTAGATTGTGTGGGGGTTTGTTTGTTTGGGTTTTTTTGGGGTTATTTGTGTGTGTGTGTGTGTGTGTATGTGTCCAAGTTGTTGTTTGAGAGCTGGACTGTGATTAAAAAGCATTTGCTACTTAGTGACTGGAGAAAGATGCCTTCAATTACTTATGCTGCTGTTTTCCAGGGCCGAGTAGCCACAGGTGGGAGAGGACTAGCTGCAAAGAGAATAACAGTGATGCACAAACTAGATTCTTTTGATATGATGATTGTAGAAGAGCAGCTAACAGTAGCATCTAATTCTGTTCTTAACTAAATTAGTGGAAACAGATTCTACTGCTTTTTTTCCATGCTTCTTTATAGGTTGCCCACATGTAGCTTGTTTTTTGATTTTTGATTAATAAGGGCGTATGCCTAGGCATCTGAAATATTTTTTTTTCTGGCATTCTAGATATGTGCCTCTTGTTCTTCGTGCCACATATGCCCCACAGTTTTGCATTATAGTGATAGTTCTCTTGACCAGTGGTTTAATGTTTCAGCTGCAGTCTATCTGTTAGGATTATCTTTTTAGATAAGGTAGCTGGAGAATACTGTGCTAGGAGATAATTATCCTGTTCTTAAATAGCTTACAAGGTAAGAAAAGACAGCAATTGTAAAAGAGAAGCTAACGATGGCACCAAAAGCTGATCATGTTGGCCTCTATTGAACAAAGAATTGGTTAATGTTTCAGTGTTCAAAGAGGCTGCTTGGAAATTAAACACTTTGCAGGGTACTTTTACATCCTGTATATACGTTGATGTAAAATAATTTCTAGCAAATGGGAGCTAGGAAGAAGCTCCCAATATGGAGAGATTATGCTATAATTACTTGCCATAAGGTTTCTTGCACAGTTCCCTGAAGCATTTAATAACACTCTCGGTCTGAGGCAGAGCACTGGACAACAGCAGCACGAGGTCTGGCTACTCCTGTATTTCCAAAGCATGGCATTTCTTGGTTTAGTCTGTGTGTGGATGATTAGGATGCAGGTACTAAAGTTCTAGTTGGTAAATAACAAGTTTTCTTGGTAGTACTTCCAGATTACAAAACCAGCTACTTCATTTTAGAAATTATCTTCTCAAGTTACTTAATAAGCCTTTTTTACACTTTTTAAGGTTCTGCTAATTGACAATATACACAGCTAAAAACTACATGTTTGTGAAGACTGCATACTGATTGTATCACTTCTCCAGCTTTTTTAACTGTCACTTAAAAGATAAATATAATGCTGTCTTGATTTTGATAAAACAGAATTATTAGTTCTTTGCAGTTGATGTTTATCAAAGTGAGATTTTTCTTTATGTCATTCTTTTGTTAATCTAGGTGTGCATACCACATGTAGAAGTGAATTAAAGTATGTTTCTCTTTAGAAATACACCCATTTCTGGTTCAGTTTTAAACTTTTAATGGGTGTTTTAAATACAGCACAGACATTCATTTGAATTCCAGAGAGGTTTCTTTAGTGTCGTGTAGGGACAGAAATAGATTTTAGGTAAACTTTAGACAAGTCTGCCAGAGAAGAATTTGTACCAGCTCATCTAATGTGCTAACTAGGCCAAGGTGAGGTTGTGCATAGATATGGCTGTGTGATGCACCATGTGACATGGAATGTTTAAAATCTATTTTATTTTTATGTTCAGTGGCTAATGTAGCAGGAGTCTAATTTGGGTCTTGTATTGTTCTTTTTTTACAAGAATTTCTTCTCTGGGATATATCTTTTGAAAAAAGGGGAAATTACAAATATGTTTTCTGTGAGCCTGCTCAGTAGTTCCTCTCTGAATGTGCTCTGAATATGTTTGTGGAGAAAGACATGGAAGAGGTGTATTCATGGCCCAAACCCTTCTCTTTTCAGCCATCAGACCTGGCACATTCTGTTGGTCTGTTTGAGGACACCTCTCAGAGGCTGTAACCACACATTGTATAGATGATGCAGAGTGCCCTAGGATGCTTTTATTCAAATTACAAGGTTTGAAGTCCCATCTCCCACCAGCACTTCAAATCTGCACAAGGCTATTTTGATCTCCTGACATGTGTGGAGCCCTGTTGTTCTTTATTACCACTATTTCTTCCTCCTTCATGCACTACACAAATTCTATTTCTGCAAACTACCATTGCAGCTGCTTTTCTCCAGCTGCTAGGTTGATGGTAGGGAACAATTTACTGTGGAGCCTGAACCAATTAGCACTGCAATAAGTGACCAGGAAACCCTCCCTAAACCACAGAAGATATAGAAGATAAATAGCTCAGGTACATGTTCAGACTACTAATATATCTTCACTGCCCATCTCCCTTCATCATACCCTGCTCCAGTTCTTCAGAGCTTTTTCCAAAAGTGCTGGATAGATCCTTCAGGCCTGGTTTGAGGTGAGAAAGATGTTTTTCTGTGTATTCCTAGTCTGTGTGCAGAGTACAGTTTCTGTAACAGCTCCTAGTAGAAAATTTTAGCCTTCATTTTGCAGGCATGATTATTTCAAGATAGAGGTTAGTTCCAAGTATTTCTTTAGATTGTAGAAAGAATTACATGTTGCATGATGACTTTAGCTCTGAGTGAGAGCAGAAGGAATTCCTTCCAACTGTAGATGTTGTTTACATTTTTTTGCTAAATGATGAATAGGGAGAAAAATGTCAGAAACGGGAAATATATTTAATATGAGCAATGTCATGCCCATACTAGATTTGCCTGTCAAGCCCCCTTATGTGCACTTGTTAAAAATAAGGTTCCTAAAAATACCCAGGAGTTAAAGATCCAAGCATTCATAGCATGTTGCAGAGCAGCCCATTTACTTCACCTTCAATTTGGCATCCTCAGTGAAAAGCCCCTGCAGGAGGGAGATTTTCAGTTGTAAAGGTGTTAATCTGCAAACCTGCAGTAAGTATGGATTTACTTCAGGAAATCTATGTAGACAAAATTTTGTGGCAAACATGACAGAAGATTACCAGTACCATGAGGCAGCACGCAGGCACAAAATGGTAGATCCGGGCAGGCAGAGAGTGAATCTACAGTCTGAAGGTTGGGAAAAGGAACAGAAGCAGCAAAGTCTGCAGAGTGAGACTGTGTGGTGTGGTAACAGCTTCTGTGTGAGCAGTGTGAGGCCTTTGGTTCTGCACTAGGTCATCCTGAAACCACTGTGGAGAAAGTTTAATGCAGGGAATTAAAACTGCTGATTTACTTTTGTCTATAAAAAGAGAGGCTCCGTTAGGGTCTCTATGATATGAAGCAGCATTCTCACATCTGCATACAATCTGTTTTCAGAGGCTATTTAAAGTTATCCGTAATTATTTGTTGCATATTGATTAACCAAGCTTTTGTTAGAAGTGACGTGTAGGCAGGCAAATTTTTGTTATTTAAAATAAATATCAGACTATTGGATTTTCTCAGAGTTTGTTACAGGAAAGGGAAGTGGTTGGCTACGTATGATTTGTGTTCCCTGTGAGCAGGCTATTATTTTTTTTCCTTTTAATTTTTTTTTTCTTTCCCCAGAAGACTCATGGCTACATTTTGTGGTTAAGAGTGGGTTATGAAATGAGTAACTGTTCCCTTTAAGTTTCAGAGAGAGATAGTCTTTAAGAACAAAACCAAAACACGAGGTAGAAACCTAGAACAGGGTGCAGTTTTACAGCTGCCACTTTCAAGATTATTACAGACTTCTCTGGTAGTAAGTGTTGTACACGAGGTGCACAGAGTGTTTTAGAAGTAGCTGTAAGTAGTAGTTGGGGTAGGACGAACCTTCCTGATGACCTTTACAATTCAGCTTCTTTTTTGTGACAGTTCACTCTGGGTTCTTGGTAGGAAGCTCTGCAGCAGGTGGATGGTCTCCTACCACCCTCCAGTGGTGTGCCATGCACAGTGCAAGTGTAATGTTCAGAAAACGAAAAAGGGACTGGGGATACTTCAAGCTTTCTTCTCAAGATACATAGTGTTGCCTTGTGGATTTGTTTGGTGGCTTGTGTAAAAGGTCTCGTGGTTGTTAGATGCCACAAAGTGTTTTTGCACTCCTGGTCTGTGGAGCATAATGGCATTCATGTGGTTGCTTGCATTTGCAGGACGTAAAACCATCTGTGTCTGTGATGGTTTCCAGTCTGCATTTGTATTGCTGCCAGGATTAAGGCTTCTTGGGGTGATAACAATGGGATGTACAACAGTGAAGGGGTACTTTGGAGGAGGCTGGGCAAAAACTACAGTGTTTGTCTATCAATTTAGTGACTCAATAGTTTGCAAGTCATTATAAATGTCTCCTTTGGCTGTTAGTCTTCCATTTCTTTCTTTCTTTCCAGTCTCTGGAGGACCTTAGAGATATTAACATATAAGATTCCAAGGAAAATTTCATCTTTTGTGTTACTTTTTCTGGTTTTGGTGGCAACTGATATTCTATCCATGCTATGTGGCAGTGTCATCAACCTGATGACATTTTTCTAGATCACTGATGAAGATAATAAAATGTGATGCAATTTATTTTTATCTTGCAATCATGAATGTAGAGAGCCGTGAGAACTGCAGAACCTTCAAAATACACCAGAGGTGAATTTATCAGTACTTGAGGAGGCATTAATGTGCTGTGTCACTTGGTAACACCTACCAAACTTACCCACCCAACTTTAGGCTATATCAAGTCCTGGACTGCAAAGCATAAGTATGAGGGGCTGATGCCTTCATTTTTTGCTATAAATTTTCAAGCAACTTTTATTTCATGTAACTGTGCTTTTATCTAAGCAAATCCATTAACAACAGATAAATTTTCAATTTAAGCCTATTGCAAAAAATCCTAAAATAGTGAATGGCACTTTTCTCCCTCAGGCAACTTAAACTGATGGCTTATCTACTAACACCACTTGTCTAGTAGAGAGTGACAGTAGTCACATAGTACTCAGCTCAGCCAAGCTAAAATATGTGAGGAGGACAGGAAAATTAGGGATCACCAGGAGGAGAGCACAAAGTTTAATTGCATTTCCCTTCTGAGCTCAGCCCAACATGACTGGAGCTGAGAGGACAACTGAGACTGCAACTAGGTCAGGGCAAAACAGAAGTGCAGCTTTGGGAAACACTAAGAGCTTTAAAATGCTCCTAAGTAGTCTGATCCCCCTGCATCTGTCCACGTGAGTGGGGGTCTCTCTTTGGTCCTTATTCCTTTCCTGTATGACAATTGGGAGCATGAGGTGCTCTGCACAGTCTGTCAGTCCCATAATCACCCATGCCCTGGTGGTACCTCCCAGTATCCTAACAGCCATCTTACTTCTGGTGTGGTAATGCATGGGTGGGTAGAACAGACATGGAGCCATGCTGTCTTTTGGGAGAAGAAAAGGGGCCAGAGAGGTCCAGTAGGCCTTGGCTGGATTTCTGTCTAGATTCCATCATGGTATGTTAGCAAAAAAGACCTGCTTTAATCCATTTCTGCTAGCTCATTCTCCTGATACACCCTTCCTGAAAGTCTCAGCAGAAGTTTGTGAGTTTGTTCCTTTATTTACCTATCCTGCCTGTTCATTGTTTGGTTTAGTCAGTTGTTTTTGTTTTTGTTTTTTCCCACCTTCAAAATGTTTGCATTTAAAGTAAGGGTTCCAGCATTCTTCTTTGACTTTAGAGTTCCATATGAAAAAGCTTTATTTGACCTGGGCATTCACATCAATTGTGTGTTACAGAGGGTAAAGTGATTGTAATGAGACTGCAGGTATACATGACAATGAAAATTTACCACAGAATCTTCTCCCCAGTAGACCAAAAAGCATAGCATCAGAGTTGAGGCAAAAACTACTTCATGACAGAAAAATTCTGTTTAAGAATACAGTTCATTCTTCCTTATGTTCAGTGTTGATCTCTCACAGAGCATCCCCAGGTAAGTGAAGGGTTAAGGTAAAAATCGTTTCTTCCATCTGGACAAAGACAACTTTCTCTTTGGAAAGAAAGCCTGTTGCAAGGCTTGAGTGGAATTTTCACTGTAAAAAGGATGAAAGTCATCAGGTCACATGCTGTGTAACCTGGTGACTCTAATGATATGGCAAGACTGTGATTATAAAATGCCTGGCTGGTATGACTGCAGAATATTACCTACATGTACTACAATTAATATAAGGTTCTGGGGTTTTATTTTGTTACTTTTTTTTAACGCCTCCCATTATTCCAAGCTGCCATACAAAACCCAGCAAACTTAGTTTTCACTCCTAAGCAGATGTATCAGAAACTGAAATGTTTCAATGCAGTAAATAAACTTGTAGCTCTGTCTCTGTGTATATTGATCAGAAAATGTTTCCATTCTTCTAAGGACTTATTTAAGCCTTGTGTTTGTAAAATTCTGACAAGGGCTACAAAATGCTCCAGAGATTGTGTTTTGAGGCAACAGCTCTGAAACGTGCAACCTTTAACTGCCTTTAAAGACTGAATTTTTTTTGCCCTGGGATGCACTGCTCTAAAACTAATGGCAAGAAGCAGCATTTCTGAGAGTCAGCCCTCTTGGTGACATTGCATTTACATTCCTCAGCTTTCACAGTGGTTGTACTCCTTCAAAATATGACCAGACAGCAGATAGTGTGCAGACTAGAAGACTTTGTCATTTCCCCAAACCAAACCAGAACAAAATTTTAAAAATATAGCTGACCAATGAAACCCAAACAAGGAAAACTGAGCCAAACTCATACCTTCAAAGTAAATTTATACCACCACAGTGCTCTGTCGTTATCAGGGGTTTTGATACAGCCTTAGTACCTGGAAACTCTTAGGAGCCTCAACCCAAGTGTAGTCGAGATCCATAGGAGCAGAGCAGCTTTGCTGTCCCTGTGGTTAGTTGTGGCCTGGATGCTGAAGCACAGCTCAGCCTTGCATTAGCATGGCTGCAGAGAGGTGGCACTGTTATGTTGTAGTTTGTACTTGTTTCATTCATCAGATGCTGGCAACTGACTCCGAGATTAATCTGATGATTAATTAAGCTATTTTTTTCTTTTAAATGTCATATTCTTCTATCTGTTTTCAAAGGCAAGAAATCCAGTAGAGAACAGTTTTATTTTAAAGACAGGCTGAAAAATCTCACTTCACAAATGAGATTAAAAAAATCTCTGCAAGAGTTGCATTGTTAAATGCAGAGAATAGCCTATTTCATTTTAAAATAGCCTTAAAATAAGCTAGGATTTTAGTGCTGCAATTCACAAGCATATGCCTGGAAGATCTTCCTTGCATTACTGAGGCTCTTTGACTGCTATCATGTACGATCATTTCCACATAACCGTCTTCTGGAGTTTATTGTATTTAATCCTCAATGCAGTTTCATTTCTTATGCTTTTTTTTTTATGGGAAGACTGTTCCACAACTGTGTTTCTCTAATTTTAAGCAACTGTGCATAGCTAAGAACAGTATAAGTATTATATTTTAGTGTTTTGGATTTTTCTTCTCTCACTGCCAGAAGTGTGCATCAGGTAAACTTAAATATTCAGCTTTTTACCTGTCTATTGGCAAGTTATGGCTGTACTGCAATTAAATTACTTTAGATGTCATTCACAAGCACGTAGAAACAGAAGAGGACTCTTCATGCCTCTGAATCTGTGAAAATGAGATCGTTATTAATTTTGCAGTGACAATGAACATAATACTGTCAATGTGTATTATCAAAATAAAAGGTTTTGTTAATTTTATTACTGCTTGGTTCTTTCGGTAGAAAAAGCACAGAATGGCCAAATCAGTTTATTGTAAAATTTTACAAGTATGATTTTTTTTTTTAATTACTTTTTTTTTTTATTACAGTGGGAGAAACTACAGATGACAACAAGTGAGAGGAGGAAAATAATTTGTTCAGTCACATTCCACATAATTGCAATTACCTGTGTTGTTTGGTCATTGTATGTTTTAATTGATAGAACCGCTGAGGAAATCAAACAAGGCAATGATAACGGTAAGTACCTTTTACCTTCTTCAGTCTTGTTGATGTCACCATGGATGGCTTTGGAAGGCAGCTATGTAACTGGTCACATCCTGTTCTTAAGGGCTCACTGATACAGGGCTACATGAAATGTTTCAATGCAGGAGTGATGAGTGCATCAGTGTTAAAAGCTTATGTTGTGCCCCTGCAGAGAGACCTCTGCTTAGCGCAGTCATTACAACAGCTTAACTAGCCTGCTCCTTCTTCCTAGGTTAATCTCCCATTATCTAGATAGTGCTAAAGCTCAGGCAAAAAGATGAGTCAAATTCAAACATCTTAGCGTAAGTTCAGGTCTTACAATAGCAGTTTATTTGTGTTACCCACTTGAATCTCGATACCCTGTAAAACACAACAAAGCCTTTTTGTCAACAAGTTTCCTAATACGAACTTCCAAGAGTCCATGTTCCAGTTGTGTTAGTTCAGGGGGGGGGGACTTAATTAGCATGGAAAACCATTCTTGCATCCTTTCAAGCAGAATTCCACTGTGAATGTCCACGTTCCTGTTGTTTTTATGGTGAGGGTGGTCAAACACTGGAACAGAGAGTTTGTGGAGTCTCCATCTGTGGAGATTCTGAAAACCCAACTGGACATGCATAACAAAAGGCATGTTTTAACATAAGCAGTTTTCGTTTTGTACTATACTTACCCTTTGTGGAAACCATATTCCAAACTGAAGTACCCTTTTCCATTTCAGATCTAAGTCTATACTTTCTTGAATTTAGTCTTAAATATGTTCATGATGTTGAGGAGAATAAAAAGCTTTTGAGTTTTGATCCAAATTGACTTTAAGCACATTAGAGGGACAAAGGTCTCTAGCTTTGTGCTATACTCTTGAGTTAACATGGAAAACAAAACAGGTGGAGCTTTGTGCCTTGCTAGTTAGATAAATATTTGATGATACTCCCAATGCTTGCCTTTCTTGCTATGAGAGGAAAATATGTAACAGGCCTCAGTGAGTCACAGATTAATGTACCCTACAACGTCTTGCTCTGCATTCTTTCTAAATGAGTAACCCTGGGTTTCATCTCAAAAAACCTGGTCCTGAGGACAAGACTAGGAATGGCTTTGAAATTCTGAGTACAACTGCATCACCTTACTCATTAAAAACGGAAAAGGTTTTCCTGAGGATTAGCTGAATTTGCACAACAAAAGAGCCAACATGATTTTTTGTTGTTAGATAGAACGGTTAAGAATCACGTTAATTAATGCTGGTAAGCTCAAAAAATATCTGCTATTTCTGTAGAATTCAGTGTTTGCCAAACGTAATGGATGATTCTCCACAGTAATAAATGGACAAAGAGATACCTTGGAGCTACTTACAACATGGAAAAAAGTGCATATGAAGAGAACTCTTTTGCCCCAAAATTTGCTTGGCAGGGGGAAGTCTGAAAGGTACAAAATTCACTGTGGCATACCAGCTAAGCGAAAAATGATGCTTCCTGTATTACCATGGAAGCAGCAGTAGTACATCTTTACTGCTAAGAGGTGGAAGAAACTCTGAAGGAAATCTGAGCTGTTTATTTGGCCTCTTTGTTCTGAGCTTGGTGCTCCAGCTGAGACTTGCAGGTCCTAAGTGTCATTACCCACTGATGGGGCTTAGTCAGATGGAAACCATACTGTTGTCATAATTAAAAGCAAGAAAGAGACAGTGTTTTTTAAAAACAATTATTAAAGGGAAAAAAAAAAAAAACCAACACACTAACAACACATCACTGGATATGTGACACCTTAGCAAAATATTCTTTGTTACTTCTTTTGTCCCAGGAACAGGGGATTGAAGAAAGGCATGGCAAATCTTTTGTGAACAAATTTAACAAATATTAAAGGATTTGTTCCTGGTGAGTTCAACTAACCAGAGTAAACAGTGGTCAGGGAGAAATTAATAAGCTAGCACCATCACTTAAAACATTGTTACCATTTCTAAGTACTACTTCATGAGACTCACAGAGGTGGCTAGAAGGAAAGACTTGCTTTACGGGAATCCAGGTTAACAGATCTACAAGCGGAGACTTGCTTCTCACTGAAGCTCTTTTGCTGAACCCCAGAGGGACATGGATTGCTTTCTTGCATGTGGCAAAAATTTGTTCCCTGTGTAAAACTTGAGTAAAATTCACATATATCACCAAATTGTTGTGATACATCACCAGTGGTTGAACACAGCATCTGCAAGACATCTTGAATACTACTCTTAGCGAGAAAAACATTATTCAAAAGAACTCCCGTACAGAACCAACAAACCCATTCAGATTGTTCTCTGATGCAGGAGATAAGAGTCCCTTCCAGAAGTTCTTACTATACCCTGGCTTCAGGATGAAGCTAGGACCAGGTAATAATATTGTAAATGTTGGTGTTCCAGGTACCCTAAACAGTGTCATGCTTCTAGCCTGATTTAAAAAAAATCTAGTTGTTATTGAAGATGTGCATGTTTCTAGGTATCCAGCTATCTTGGGTTTTGCACTTGTATTTTTCCTTCAGTAAGCTGTTGAATATGGGGATATTATTGAAGAATACAATAAAATGGTTTGGGTTGGACTGTATCAAGCAATATGCTTCCTTTGTGACGGTGGCCTTGCATTTCTTATTTGACCAAAGTGTAGTTAAGTGATTTAAAGTGGGAGGCAGATGTAGTTTCTTGGCTGGTCTATAGGATAGGAAACTGCTGCTGTTGTCTGCTTGAGCCACAACTGCCCCAGTAGCATGTGCATACTTGGGAACTACTACCAAGTGGCTTCTTTCCAAAACATTCTACTGCAACTCAGTACTTGGTGTTCAATATATAACGATGGTAATAAATATAAATGCTTTATTTCAAAGGTGTCCTTGAATGGCCATTTTGGACAAAACTCATTGTGGTGGCCATTGGATTCACGGGGGGCCTGGTCTTCATGTATGTGCAGTGTAAAGTTTATGTTCAGCTGTGGCGGAGGTTGAAAGCCTACAACAGAGTGATCTTTGTTCAGAACTGCCCAGACACTGCCAAAAAAATGGAGGAGAAGAACTCTTCGTGCACTCAGACCCCGGATGTCAAGGATGCAGTGGTGGTGCCAGTAGCACAGACAGGTACAAACTCTCAGCCGGCAGCTGAAGAAATGACACCTGAGGTCATTCCAGTTTGACAGAGACAGCATTGTTTCTCCCTTGCAGAATAAGGCGTAGTGTTTTCTACACTAAAAATGCTAAAAGAGAGTAGAAATGACTGTGGATTTTTTCAGTTTAAAAAAAAACCCAACACACACAATAAAAACAAAACCCTACAAGGAAAATGGATCCAGCAAAGCAGCTTGTCACTGTATGGAGTGTGACTGTTCGTGAAGTAGTTTCTCAACTAGTCAGCAATGTAGTGAAAGTGGAAGTGTAGAAAGTGCAATAGAGAACAGGTTTAACAGACAATGCCAAACCAGTGTGACAAGAGTACTTTTTTTTTTTTTTTAATTTGATGGCTGAGAAAGTAGAAACAGACCTGATATGATCATTTTGTTTACAGAAAACAAAAACCTTTCATCTGTTTACTACTAAAAGTTGTATTTGCTATTTATTTTTTTAAAGATACACTTCAAAAGGGTACCAGTTGAGTTGTATGCATTAACTGAATTGAGGTATGAAGAGCTGTATCACAGCACTCACTCTCTAAAGCTCAAATAGTAACACCCGTTCGTGTGGCCGCAGTGGAGCCTGAGTGTTTGGGCAGCTGTGTCGACTAAGGATATTTGAAACATTTAAAGGGTAGCATTATTTTTTAAATATGCCTGAATTTTTTAAAAGTAAGCAATTCCAACCAGTATCAGCTCAAGTCTTGATAAGCTACAGATATTTTCCTAAGCATAGTTGTCAGCACAATAAGTACAGGAAGGAGAGAACATGTATTACATATTTAGAAGAGCAGCTCAGCTCTTTATTTTACTTTTTAAGAGCGAATAGACATAAATTGGATACACAAAATCTTGAGGCAGAACTGTAAGTGAAAAAAACTGCAGTTTACTACAGAACCGCACGAAAGTAAATTCCATATAATGAAAGGTCTGAAAGATGATGACACAGAGGGAAGATGAAAGCAATTTTTTGTTTTATTTTTTTAAGATTCATGATACAAAAAGGTAGACATAAGAGGATATACCTACATATCTTAAGAGAACATTAGTTTTTATCTCCTTGTTCTGAAAACTTAGCTTTGATCTTCCTGACTCAAAAAATAAATCAATGGTTTCCTTCTGTACAGGTAAACTTGAGGTGTTAGAGATTCAACAGTTCAGTTGTTAACTTCGTGCTTTGAGCATTCTCATATAAAAACCAAGTGTGAATAGCATTAAAGGGTGCAACAGATAAATGAATGTAGATATAATTCTGTGTCCAACAGGGTTAATTTTATATAAAGAAACACTTTTTGTGATTCATTCCTCATACCTGTGACGTTTACCATGCGGACACAGCAGCAATGATTGGCTTGAAGTAGCTATGTAGTTTCTAATGGTAAATTTCCTCTTTAGACACTCAAGTATCTAATATCAAATGACAGAATCATGTCATTCTTGCAAATATCCAGGGTGCTGGGCCTAAGATGTGTTGGAGTTTCTATACTGGGCATTACTTTGTGAATGTGTATACTGGCTTAAGGCTCGGGGAATAATGCAAGTAGCAGTATTAGCAAGAGATTTGTCTTTATCAGACCATTATGTTCTGTTGTTTGAAATTGCTCGTGTAATTTTGCTGTGACTAAGTGATTGTCATCTGGCTAGACAGGACACAAAATCTTGGTGCTTGAACAGGCCCTAAATACTTATTCATAATTTGCTCTAAGTTACTGCAGGTGAGTTAGATTAATGTTTAGGGGTTTTTTTTCACAGAATGACACACACTTTTCATCTAAAGTAACTTTCCAGTTCTACAATTGTGAATTGGAGTGGTAGCAGCTTCTCATTAGAAATGACGCACAAGAGCAACCAAATAATTTCTTTGTTTATAATTGTGGAGGAGACTTCAGAAGATCTTCAGAAAACCATGACAGTACTAAGGAATGTGTCATAACTCCAGATGCTTAAGATAGTCTGCAAAGGCATAGTTTTCAGAAACAGTAAATCTACTTGCTAAAAAGTAAATCTCATTAAGTTAGACACTTAAAATTATCTAAATGTTTGGAATGATGTTTACTATAAAACCAGTAAAACCTGATGAATCATAGCAAAACTGACTGACAAGGAGCATTATTATGGAAAACAATTAGGAACTTCCTGAAATAATCAGAAGGTTTCTTACTAAGTGACAATAAACCTGCTTCTTTAGCCAGCTTGTTCTTTGACCTGCTGTAGCATCATATCCCCATTGGAAGTACTTTATCCCCTATTTTGACAGTTTACTGGAGACAAATTCACATTGTTTTTTTTTCTTGAAAAAGTCTAAAATACAACTCATAGAAAAAAAATACCTGAGGCTTCTGAAAGCAGATTTGTAGCATCCAACAAGATTACTGTACATTTTTTAAAGCAAGAAAGACAACTTGGAGGATTTTATACTAACAACTCGAGAACACTGTTTTTACATTCATGTCAACCGCATGTGCAGCTGAGCTTGCAGTTAGTTAAATATAAGGATGGAGAAAGACTTCAGTTGAAATTCCTACTCTGCCTTTGAAATATTAATTTGGACAGCAGGAAAAGGAGACAGACAATGAGACGAGTCAGCAGCAAGAGAGATTACAGCAGGCTTGAAGCAGTCTTTAACCTTCCAAAGCATTACAGTATTAGCCCATGCATCCCTTTAATCTTTGTAGGTGCACTGGATAGTCTAGAGCTTTCAGGAATTTCATGCAGGTTTGGAATTTGTTTCTGAAGGAGGGTGCAACATCTTCAAGAGGGCAAGGAGCTATTCACACCAGCTTGCCTTGGATACAGGTCTGCAAGAATAAGGAAGGTGCACAAATGCAGACACTACACAGCTGCTTATCAACCAGTGCTTTTCATTCCCACACAAAGCACAAGTTTCTATATCAGTTTAATAACCAAAATATTCTGTCCTGCAAAAACAGTATACTGAAAATTTTAAGATACATTCTAAGACTTTGTAATGAAAAATTATATATTAAATAAAGATCTCAGTCAAACTGCCTGCGTAGCCAGAGCGCATTTCAGTCGAACAGGCTGAAGGTGGCATTTAGCCTGGCTAAACCCCCAAGGGCAGGACGTTGCTCTACCAATACCAAGCTGCCAACACCAAGAAGAGCTTGATCTGCATTTGTGTTTAAGTGAAGTTTTAATGAAGGTAGGTAGAAGCAATCTGGTCTCAGATTGGATCTGGAATTTTAAACAAGATACTCCTAATCTGTGAACATGCACATTTCCTGTTTTAAGTTATAAGCTTTATAAAGCTTATTTCAAACAGGCCTAAACATACTACTTTTTGTTATCCTTAGCATTATGAAGATTCTCAACGAGTCCAACTGTGCCATTCACACACTGCTCTATCTGCAGGCAGTGTTTATTTTTGTTGTGTAGAAAAAAAACAACAACAAAACCAGTAATTCTCCATCACCAGAACAAACCGTTTATAATTTCTAACAATGCAATGAAACTTACTCTATGATGAAAATATTTGACTGTGTATAATATTTGGAACTACAAGGTTGTGTTACTTGTTTAACTCCCTCTCTTTTGCAAAAGAAAAATTGTATGTTTTTGTGGGTGAATGTGTACTGAAAGACAGAAGGTAAGGGAAACAAAAGTAATATATCTGCTTATTGTTGTGAAACAAAAAATGTATTTGTATTAAACAAATGACCCAAATTACTGTAGCATGCTGTATTTGTCACTTTATTATATAGGGCATCACATGCTGAATACGAATTCGCAAGACCACACTCCTGCAAGAAAGGTGAAAAATATACTCAGCTCTGTACTTAATATTGATAACTCTGCTAGCTCCGAGGGGCTGGGTTTGGGTACCACCCCCTAGCACAATGCTCAGGAAAACACGTCACAGTACAAAAACACTTAAAAGAGCTATGGTGGTTTTACTTGTAGAAAGGAAGACTGTGAACAGGCTTCAACTCCATAAGGAACTTGCATAAAGCAATTAGTTTTACATCCATAGCAAAATGGAGAACTGGAACTGGGTTGCAACTGCAGGAGGGTAAGAGGAAGAAAACTTCCCAAGGACAGCTGTGCTTTGGAATGAACGGGTTGTTACATGTGATTGCAGAATGTCCAGCACTAGAAAGCTTTAAAGAACCTGGACAAACAGTTAAATGGTTTAAGCTAATCTGAATTCAGATTGTCAGAATTGATCACGTTTCTTTTTCATATTATTTCAGACTTCTACTTGGTGATATTTTTTACCTTTTCCAAAACACCTAAAGAGAAATGATTTTTTAAATTTAAAGAGATATCACATTTGTGTTATAAAAGAATCTGTGTAATTTGAGCTGGGTGTTAAACCAAAGCATCCTATCTTGAAAAATACACAGCGTTCCAACTGAACTGCAAATTTAGTTTCCTAAGGAGGATTGTATCTACCTATCTCATATCTTTCTCCTATCTTGTCAGGGGGAAGAGAATAGACTAAGTTTTGAAACCCCACATTTCTAGCTGGAACAATCATCATGACTGGTGAATTCTAAGAATATATGTTCAAAATGTGAAAAATGATCTAACAAATTACCTTCCCTACATCCAACCAAACAGAATGTTCATATTGTTAAAGCTGCCCTAACTAGCTCACCATGTAAATCAAAGACAGATTCACAAATCCTTACAGAATATAATACAGAAGAAACACCATAACCAAAGAAATTCTAGTAATAAAGATATATTAATTTCCATTTATTAGCATATGGAGAAACAGACCCAAACTTGGGTTTAGAATTCAGCGAACAGAGGTATAGATCACTTTGCCATTTTGCTTTGCACACAAGAGTTCGAATCTCTTGATGAAGAGTGTCAGTAGAACTAAAACCACATTTCTGTTCGGGTTGCTCTCTGTATACACCTAAACAAGGAAACGTGCTATACAGTAATTATTTCTACCTCCCCACCCAATAAAATATTGAGACCGTTCTGCATGAGCTTTATCTAGAAGTCAAAATAGTTGTCAGTTAACAAAGAACACACCAGAAGTACTTTGAGTGGTG